AAATGTGGGCTTGTCTAATAGCGACAACTAGTTCTTCGATATGTTTGAGGAAATTGGAAAACTCCAAACTGGCTTTCATACGTGGGTATAACTACCCATCAGGGTGCAGGAACTCATTGAGTGGGTCGATGAGAACGACTGCAATATGGGAGTCCATGGTGGTAAGAACTGACGCGGTAGCTAAGAGTATGAAGCTTGTTAACGTTGAAAATAGTTTGGCATGCAACGGCAGTCCGCACGCCTTTACATATACTCCCGGTAGCCTTTACTTGCTAAGCTCATAATAACCTTGGCAATGCCTAGTGGAAGGCTATGGAGGTAGCAGTAAGAAAATATTGAATACAAATCAGATATGCAGCTCGATAATGTGGGGGTTATATGTGGTGTATCTACTTTTCCGAACGATTACTTATCGTGCCGATTGAGCATGCCCCGGCATTGTGGATGACACGGCTGTTGTCGGAGAGTTGAGTAAAAACTATTCCTCTTCCCGTCACAGAGTAACTAACAGATGAACCCCCATTGCAATAAGAAACGCTACTTCTAAAACGGACTACATGGTTCTGATGGCAAACGAAATCTACTATTCAATGACCAAAAGTTGACTTGTCTGCTACTGGTGAGATCGCTTTTGGACAACCAGACTGGCGCCACGGAGGATTGACAAGCATTGGGGTCACGGTCTTGGTTCATGTACTGCCGAGTTAGTCTATTACTGGCGCTGTCTTTAATTGGGATGCAACACACATGCCGGGAATACAGTCAACTCACTCAACTTGGAAAGAAAAAGCGGCTTTACATTGGACACGAATTGTAGTCAAGTCTTTATTGTAGACGACGATCGACCGTGAGGCGGAATCCGCCCAATACCCACGGCCGAAGATCCCGACAACCTCCTCCAATCTAACCCAAGCAACCAAGACACAAGACTAGTTTCACAACATGGGGCTGTAGGTTACCGGTAACAGGTTCACCCGCTCTCGCTACCAGGCCTTATGTCCAGCCCCAGTGCAGTCATACGGACCTGGTCTCATTTCGCAAGGTGGCTGCATGGTCACTGATGGGATTGAGCAGTCGCTGGCCATGCTTAGCCTCGGGTTGGAGTATCAGCTTGAAACAGGCGAGATTACAGCATTTTCGCCATTTGTCGGTGCCACCACATGGTGGCTTTATGACACACAAACAGTGGACGGACTGGGGAGGCCGAAGATGACGAGAATCCAATATTAATATAGATTATTCTGTAGGGCTTAACATATTTATGATCAGTGGCTGTTGGCTATATACTTTGGCAGCAAGAGATTCACTAATGATCGCGGGCTGATCGAGAGTAGACTGTCCCTCGTTAGGTTCCATGATCCGGAACCTCACCCTCACCCTCATGAGGTTCCACAATAGTAAATCTCAAAACCCTCTTAGACTCTTAGTTATATATAATTTCGTAATCTTTCCTTTTTAGGACTGGATAAAAGTGATAACTTATCCTAGTAGAATATAGTTGTTTTTAGTAGTAACTACTCTGATCTTTTTCTTACCCTATCTACTTTAAAATTGAAATTTAATAAAATATCTCTATTTTATAGATCACTCAAGTGAGTAATAGTGTAAGGGATAAGACCCGCAACATTCGATAAACTATCATAGCTATCAAACAAGAATAAAACGCCAAAGAAGAAAGAAAGAAATAATCAACAAACAATGGGACAATAAGGTATCACAGGAAGGAGTAGACTTGTTAGGCCCAGCCCACGAAACCCGGCCCAACCCTGCCCAACCCGCCAAGAAATGGGCTGGGTCGTCCTATGCAATAAACCGGCATGTGGCCGGGTTACTTCCCTGGATGGCCCACACGGGTCAACGGGTTAGCCCGCGGGATGCCAAGAGATAAAATACAGTAAATATATTACTTACCTATAGTTATATAGATAAATTACGGTATTAGGAGACTGTATTCTATCAAAAGTAGATCATTACCCTATTGGAAAAGGATCTACAGCCGTGGGCCCCCGTGGGTGGTTTGCATATAATCTTAACCCGACTCAAACCCAACGGGCCGGGTTGACAAATATGAAAAAAATACCCGACCCAACCCGCGGGCCTAACAAGTCTAGGAAGGAGGTGTCGAAATACACCACGTGACGAATAGGTATTCTAACGGGCTTCAGCCCGCTACAAAGGACAACAAAACATGATGGCTTCATGTTTTCTTTTCTTCTCTTTAGCTTAGTGTCTTTGTAATAGACTACCTAATCAACTATTTGATTCAGTATAAGTCCCTCACATAATAGACTCTGAAAAAGAGTTACAGATAAAATAGATTAATATTCTTATATTAATCTTTTCTTTTCTTCCTATATCTACAGTGAGGAGGTGAGAGGGAAGGATTGCGTTAACTATAGCAGATAGTTATAGTTAAGATAAAATATATCTTAACCACAAAAATTAACAGTTAAGGCCTTAAGGTACTAATTTTAATCTAATTAGAAAGATAATAAACTAGAACTATTGTCTTTTCTTTAAACCCTAATAGAACACCGATATCGTTTACTACCTGCAGTTCGGTCTGACACATTTCCCCCGTACTGAGGACTCCCCATCATGCCTAGTGAGCCCGTTAACATTATGCTCCGCGCGTCGAATTTCGAATTTCTTCGAGAAGAAACCCGGTCTCTAGGTCCCTCCTTCGGCTATCTGTGTTGATACCCTGTCGAAGAACGCTTTTCCTTCTTCGTGCTGTGTTCCTAGCAATCCCTCAATATTGTAAGGGATTGTGATATAATGGCATTGACTTATGGTATTTGAAAATATGGGTAGTTTTGAGTGTTCCTATATGTAGTCTTAGTAAATAGTCCTACGCTCTGTGTTTGTATGGGAAAAATTTTCACCAACTTCTTTTTCCGAAGGCTTTCTTATCATGATATAAAAGACCGAGCGTATCTCGTGACACACAAGTTCATGTTCATAGAGACTGGGAATGAGATAAGCGTTTCACGCTCTAATGCTAGTTGACAGTGAATCAAAGTCTTGCTCCAAATCTCCCAGCTCAAAGTATCTCGTTATAGTTCGAAGTGATGCCTTTGAAGCCACTGCACCCTCAAAACAACATGTAAGGTATGGTGCGGTTTGCAGAATCAGAGAAGCTGTTTCTTCCGCCATGGCCAGGTTCTGTTCCAATGATTCAACCTGTGTGCTGAGCAAGCTTCGCTGGAGTTTGATCATTCCCATAAGAAGTTCCAGACGAAAGGACCAGAAGGTAACAGCAAGTCCTGCCTTTTGGGTATTTTGGAAGCGGACTTGGTATGTTTCATCTGGGAATGAAGGTATGCAAACTGTGTCGACGTCGATCACCTTGCTGGGCATTGGGATATCAGAATGCCAATACAGGGGGCCTTGTTCGGAAGCTTTCCAGTTGTTTTGCCACTCTTCCATTTGATCAAAGACCGCCCAGTAATCATTTAAAAGCGAGAGAGCGGTTTCTAGATTTTGCTTCGGAGAGTCTGAGGTTTCTCGGCGGTTGGAATCGTTGGAAGCATAATTCTCAAGCCCATTAAACCATCGATCTGTTTGGTAAAAGAGCCATGGTATCTGCAAGGCAATATCGTGAAGACGCTCTGTTCTGGTCTTCCGAATATTCAGAAATGGGAGGCGTATCCAATCTGAATCTGATAAAAAGGTTGGAATATGTTTGCTAAGTCCAACTGAAAGCTGTAGGATCGTCAGCGGAAGCATGAGCAGTGAATACTGAAGGCGTACAAAGATCCCCCTAAATCCACTAAAAGCTTGTCGCATCTGTGGTGAAGAGAAATTGCACGGCCCGTAGAGCTCTAAGATGCTTAACACACCACCGATGTGGGCCAAAAGGGCTGCTTCTGAGTATTCATTTTCGTTCACGAACTAGAAACATCCGTCAGGAAAGGAAGCGAAACTTCTTTTTCATTTATAGACCTGATTCTCACCTCAAATGCCAGAAAAGCTATAGCTAGTAGCAAGATCAATTCAAGGTTAGCCTTTGGTTGAGCACCGGGTTGGCTATTCCCCATGACCTTCTGGATATGTAGACGCGACTTTTTCAAGGCGGACGTGTACGATGACTGTGCGAGTTGTGCTAGCTTTATGTCACTTTTCAAGTTTCCCATATAAGTCGTAAGGAGACTGAAGATAGACAAATTGAGCGAGCCAATCCGCAAAGATGTGAGCGGCAGTAAAGCTCGAATGCACAAGGCTGCGCTTGAATAAATGGGGTCGTCTCGCGATATTCTATCACCGCTGAAGATACCCCCCGGGGAAACGGGTTTAAAGTCTTCAATCAATGCCAAGAACGTCAAGCGCCCAGGAAAATCAATGGAAATTATATCAGAGGGTAGACTTGGCTCAGTGGCAGCTAGCGTAGTTCTTCGGGATTGAGAATCGTCTGAGCTACTTGGGCCCTCAAAGTCGGCGGCGGTTGACTTCGACTTTCTTCTATTTTGTAATGCGTAGACTAGCGCATTTTTATCAGTCTGTTGGGTCAGATTTGCAGCATTCCGATTGATGAACGTCCGTGAATCTTTCAGGCCGCTACACTTGATGCCAGCTTTGCAGCACCGAAGACATTCAGGTTTGTTAAGATCACACTTATTGTTTTCGGCATTAATGCAGAGTCCAAGCGTATCACTCTAGGAACGGATCAATATCCATACCTTCTTGCGGCGTCGGCGGCATTCATCGCATCCTTGAGAAGCTCCCGGGTAAAGCGGCATGGCGCAACCTGGCGGCTAGCAGACAACCTGAGAGTCTCCAATGTGGGCCATTTCTTTTCAAGCGGGCGCTCAGTGACTGCCAAATATGTATTCGGAGTATATTTCAAGAAGCAATACACCACGTAGAATGATTATGAGCTTAGTTGTCCACGGCTACCCGAGGATTCCGCCCTTTCGCCACACTAGCCCCAAAATGGAAGTCACAGCGCCCAAAGATCGATATTACTCTGGTGTTTCCTCTACACAACTCATACGTAATCTGGGGAGTCCTCCTTTTCGTTGAATAATCATTTCCTGGTAACCCTCAATGATCAAATACCGAACGCCGATGCTCTTATAAATCAACTATCAAGGGATGGGATATAAGAGTGCAGACCAGGTATAGTGGTTTAACTTACTTTGCACCAAACATAATTTTTACTCAATCATTTGCAATCATGAGCGCTCGTACTGCTGTCGTTCTTGTTGATCCGCTCAATGACTTCCTCCACCCCGATGGAAAGATCTATCCTCTCATCAAGGCTAGCTTGGAGTCGTCCAACTCTCTCGAACATATCAAGGAGCTGGTTGCCGGCGCAAGAGAAGCCCGCATTCCTATCTTCTATGGTCTCCACCAAATCACCAAGGATGGAACTTACTCAGGCTGGAACCACATGAATGCGTCGCAGATTCGAATCAAACAGGATACGGTCTTTTCTGAAGAGTTTGGTGGCCAGATTCTGAAAGAACTGGAACCTCAGCCTAGCAATGGCGATGTAGTTGTCTCTCGACACTGGAACAGCAGGTAAGTATTAGAAGGCCAATCCTATTCGAGTCCTTCTGTTGTATAGAGGACGATACTAATGCATATAACGACAGTTCCTTTGCGAACACCGACCTGGAGTATCAACTTCGGCAGCATGACATTACTCATATTGTGTTGGCAGGCTTAACCACCAACACATGCGTGGAGTCTACTGCGCGTGCTGCTCGTGAAATGTGAGTATTCTTCACCTATCTGACCTTTTGGTCGGACACTTTACTAAGGATACCTTCTGTTTGAATAGTGGCTTCCATGTTACTTTGATGTAAGTTTCAATCTACTTCCGATATTAAAGGCTGAAGGTCTTGAGACGAGATTGCTAACTTTTGAATCAGTACCGATGCAACTGCGGCATTGTCGATTGAGTTAGAAAAGGCAGCAGTCAATCTGGTTTGGCCCGTGATCGCAGACCAGCTTATGACTGTCAACCAGTGGGTATCTTCCTTCTCAAAGGGGCGTATTTGAGTGTGGAAATTCCAATTAGGGTTCCAGTGTAGATGGGCCCATGGTAGTCTGTATTTTGGTTCTAGTGCTCAATTTTCTGTCTTGTTTAGCTTCACCACTAGATAAATCAAAACTTGGTTAGCATGTCCTTTGTTCCCTGGTAACTCGGGGATATCTTTTAAGCCCGGCGTAGAGGCTCGTTTTGTATTTAACGTGTAGAACAGAGAAAGTGTCAAATCTTCTTACCTCAACGGAGGAATACAAGCTTAATCTTGGCTATTTCCATGCTTTATAGACAGTATGTGTCTTTGAGGATTTCTAATGGTATAGTGATACACATTCTCTAGACTTTAAACCATGTATTTGAAAGATTATAAGTAGAGGTAGCTAAGGTTGCTAGGACCTATAAAGCTATCTTTCTAAAGAGTCAAACCTGCGAAATTTTAAGCACCCGAACGATGTAAGAGGCAAAAGAAAAGTATCGATTAAAAATCAAAACCAAATATCTAATCTAAAGCAAAGGGGATTTTTGACAATAACAGAGCTAAGTAACCAAAAACAACATCTTCTGCTGCCCTTCCAGACAACCTTGTTCAAAGAGGGGACTCTTTTTTGGCATTCTCAATCTCCATAAAAGCGTGACCCATATCCAAGAAGGTCTCGTTAAAGGACCGGAACTCGATGCCAAGGACGCTCCTAGCCCGGGAACAGTCGACCTCGTAGTGCTCACCAACGCTTGGCTTCCCTGGGTTTCCGACAGGCACCCGACTCTTCAGTTCGCAAATCTTATCTCGTAGCAGATCACAGACCTTCTGCTTGTCGAAGTCGCCTGCGGAAATAAGGAATCTCTGTGGCTGGTCTGTCTCGAATGCCAGAAGGTGGGCTCTCGCAACATCCCTAACATCCACATAGGCAGGCAACATGGTTGGTGGAACTTCAGTCAGAGATGCGTCCATTAGCGCATATATATCTGACATAGATTGGCCCAGGTGCTTGAGACTTGCTGATCCAGGGAACGCTGGGCCGTATACCATGTTCGGATTAATGGTTGCTAGAGAGAAATTCACACCGGGCGAGGTTTCCACGAACTGCCAAGCTGCTTCTTCCGCGAGCATTTTGCTGCCTCTGTTAAATTTGTTAGCAAATGGCCAGTAATTTTGATCACAGGAAATTCGACTTACGCATAGGCAAGACCTCTGTTGCCATCCTTCGCCCCCTGGTAGGTCAGAGGACTCCACTGCGACTCCTCATACACGTGTCCCGGTCGTAGACCCTTCGAAAAGTCGGCAATTGAGGCAAACGAAGAAGTCAAAACAACTCGCTTCACCTTCGGCGCAAAGGAAACCGTGCTTCGCAAGATCCCTTTTGTACCATTGATGGCTGGTACGATCAGATCCTTTTCGTTGTCGGTGATCTTGTCCGTGAATGGAGAGGCCATATGCACAATTCCATCAACATCTTTGACGGCCGTATCAAAAGCCCCGGGTCTTGTAATATCAGCAACTATCTGCGTTTCCAGCAAATCCCGGTGTCTCCAATGGATAGAGAGGAGACGGTCACAGGCATCCTGGTTTCGTACTGTCGCTCGAACTCGATACCCGTTCGAAAGGAACTTTGAAACAGTGTGGTTTCCGATGAAACCAGTTCCACCAGTGATCAAGATGAGCTTACGGGCATTCGACATGTTGCTCTGATATGCTTTCAGATTAATGAGAATAAATCGAAGATATCGCGGAGTGTACGGTTCTACTTTCACCTGCGACCTATCTGCCTTCCTTTTATACATTATAGTTAGGATGACCTAATCCTCCAACAATGAGAGTTTGAGAGTAGAATAAAGTAAGTGCATTCGGAATTATCTGGTCGTCGCATTTTTTGCCCCGAATGCGAAATACTAGCTATACATAGAAAGTCATGGCCTGTTGCTTCGTAATTTGAAGACATGAATGGGTGTAACTATATTTCGTTTGCGCGCTCTCACTTCCACAATAGACTAGTGCGAAAGCGATTTATAATTCAAGTTTATACTGTGTACCGGAGATGCCTACTTGGCCTAGTGGACCTCGAGAAGATACCTAGGGCGCAGTGGCTACCCTTTGCGGGATAGTCACCCAAGGTACAACCCGGGCAGGCAGCTTACGTGGTCAGATCAATCTAGTGTATGATTACTAATCATTATCTTCAGATTGAGCAAGCGCTTGCAGATAATTATATTCAGACCCCTAGTAATCTACAGGTTAAACCGCTATTTAGTGTAGTTATTCATCATATCTTAAACTACAACTGAATAAGGTGTTTAGTATCCAAAATCATGATCTATTAATAGACCTAGGAAAGATATTGATTAAAAATTGTACAGGGATCATCACTAGAACATTAGGAATCCTGTGTATTTATATTATTCTACATTATCGCGTGTCTAGGACACCACTATCTATCTCAGAATTCTATCCTCAATAGTTGATATCACGGGATACCCCGGTAGAACCGCTTGATCTACGTGATCTAGATCTAGATCCGCCAATTGAATGGCCCCACCTACTAGAATCATTGATTATACGAGCCCGTGGAAGACCTAGGGGTTCTAGAAATCGAGAGATCTCAGGCTTCAAGCGGACCGAACATGTCACAGATTGAATAGCGATTCGGCCTGATGGCCGTACAGGATACCCTGACCCAGGTGTATGGACAACCGGCCACCGATGAGGAACATCAGGCCATCAACGGTTTGGTTTTCAACGGGAAATCTGAACCCTTTACGTACAGAGTCTTCAGCTATAAATTAGCGAATCGTTAGTAGTAGTAGGAGATCAAGTATCAGTCTCCTGTCTGAATAGTATCTACTGCCTGCCTTTGATCTTTCTCTCTCTCCTAGCCTACGTATCCTTACCTAGTTGACAGGTCTTCTACCCTGAATAGTAGACACCCTTGACACAACAAGCACTCCAGCAGGCAGGCACTAAGGCAGATACTCAGGCAGGGAGTAATCCTATCGTGCTATAAGATCTTTCCTAAATAGGAAAGACTAAAGGCATCAAAGCCAACGAGTAGGCTTATTTACAGTATTACGAGTGCGCTGTGTATTACTTTCCTATTTTAGTTTAGCGTGAGGTCCAAATAACAACTCTCTACTGAAAACTTGTAGCCCTACCAACTATTTTCAGTGAGATGTATTCATAAGCCCGCAAACTCTCTCTCTCTCTCTCTCTCTGTGTGTGTGTGTCTGTGGGTGGATGGTTGAGTGTATGCACCTATACTCAGACCTTTCGCCTTCCGATAATTACAGCAAGTCAGAAAGCCTACTGGGCCTTGCACAACCGGCCTGCCCGCCCCAGACTATTCCAGATTGTTTCCCGAACCCTACTGTACCTACACTAGTACGTATACAGTTAGCATGTAAGTAAGGCTTCTTGGCAGACACTAACCTGTATTTTCCATGAATTTTATGGCCAAACTTACAGGAGGTGTAAAGTTAATACACGATTCTAGCAGCTTCAGCCGTGAACAACTCAGTTGCCACAGATTTGGCAATCTGTTAACATCTAAATGTCATCTCACTGTGGAACCATCTGGACCTGACACACAAGGGATGTGGATTCGTCAATACAGGCCGTGGAGCGAACTCCATGTCATTGGTAATCATTCTCTTGGCCTGTCAGCCGCAGCCTTCCCCGAGACGTGTTCGTCATTGACAAACATCCTGATCTGGCCTCATGCACTACCCCTCCTATAGGCGGCTATTGTAGCCCCGTGGTTGGTGAGTGCAATCGTGAGGCTGCGGATACAACAGCCGCATGTCTCCCACGACCTCAGCCCCGATCACCCTCCAGCTTCACGGATTGATATCCTCGTTACGTATCTGTCTTTGACGCATCAGGGTCTCTATAAATATCTGTTCTAAATTGTGACATAGCCTCTGCTATTTTGAGCCGATTTTGAGCTGAAATGCGCCCCAAAAGCCGGAATGATTTTGCGATCGCGATTATCTGCGCCCTCCCCCTCGAGGCTGACGCCGTTGAAGCCCTTTTCGATGAAACCTACGATCGGCTGGCAAAATACTATGGCAAGCAGCAAGGCGACGCGAATTCATACATTAACGGAAGGATTGGCAACCATGATGTGGTCCTGTGCTACTTGCCAGGAATAGGAAAAGGAAGCGCAGCAAGTGTTGCCTCAAGCCTGCAAGTCAGCTACACTGGTATCCAGCTTGCTTTAGTTGTTGGTATATGTGGAGGCGTCCCAACGCCACCAAACTGTCAGGAGATATTCCTAGGCGATGTTATTATCAGTGACTCGGTGATCGAATATGACTTCGGCAGGCAATACCCTGGTGGTTTTCAACGGAATTCTTGGGTTAAGGACACGTTCGGAAGGCCGGATCAAGAAATTCAGACTCTTCTGAATAGCCTGAGTGCTGATAATGCTTGCAACGAACTTCAAAACCAGATGCGAAAATATCTTGAGACGCTTCAGCAAGGAGGAACCAGGTGGCACCATCCACAAATCAATGATATTCTTTTCAAGGCTTCTTATCTTCACAAGCATCACGGGCATGCTTCTTCTATTAAATGTGGCTGTTCAGGTGACCTACCTGATGAGATTTGTGAAGGAGCACTGGAGAAGGATTGTGACTATCTTGGATGTGACAAAACCCAGGTAATCCGTCGTCGACAGACCTTGGAAGCTGTCACGGTCTCTACACATATTGGAACAGTCGCCTCCACTGATACAGCAATGAGATCTGGACAACACCGTGATGAAATCATTAGACAAGAGAGGGTCATTGGGTTTGAAATGGAGGGGGCAGGCGTGTGGGATAATATTTCGTGCATCCATATTAAGGGGGTGTGTGACTATGCAGACGGCCATAAAAGCAAGTCATGGGAAGCGTATGCTGCAGCGAGTGGAGCCTCCGCAGCAAAAGCTTTCTTGGAGTACTGGAGGCCTCAGGACAGAGGTTAGCGATAGTGATCTAGTGTGGGCAAAGCCTTGTGTATACTAATGTTTCATGGTTCATAGACGCGAGCAGAAACCCTTACTTGATGATTCCATTTAGGAGAAATCCGCGTTTTGTGGGCCGCCAGGATGAAATCCACAAATTGGAGGATTTGATCTCTGTGCCGGACGGACCAAAAAAGCTTGTCATTTCCGGATCAGGAGGGGTTGGGAAGACCCAAATAGCTCTAGAGCTAGCCTACCGCACGCGAGACAGAGATCCTGAATGTTCAATCTTTTGGATCCCATGCACAAGCTATGAGGGTGTTGAACAGGCCTGGATAACTATTGCACAGATATTAGGGATCCAGAACGTGAAGCCGGCAGATTTGAAAGACTATATCAAGGCTTACTTTAGCCAAAGAGAGAGGAAATGGCTTCTAATCTTCGACAACGCAGATAATATGGACATGTGGATCAAGGGTAGTAGTACCGCCCCGCCACTCAAGGACTTCCTTCCTTATAATGAGCGAGGTCATACTATCTTTACCACTCGCAATCAGGAGTTAGCTGTGAAACTGGGATCCTCTAATGTGATACAAGTGCGCGAACTCAATGAAAAGACTGGTGTGGAATTTCTGGAAAAATCACTAATTCACAAAAGCCTGCTCAACAATAGCTACACAGCAATTACACTTCTTAAAAAGCTTACTTTCCTTCCATTAGCTATTACCCAAGCTGCAGCATATATCAACGAAAATGGTATAGGAGTGCCTGATTATTTGCTCCTTCTCCAAGAACAAGAGGTAGATATTGTGGAGCTATTAAGTGAGGGTTTTAGTGGTGATGGACTGTACAAAGATATCCAAAGCCCAGTAGCCATGACATGGCTAATCTCATTTCGTCAGGTTCAGAAGCTTGACCGACTTGCTTCTGACTATCTATCACTTATGGCTTGTGTTGATCCGCGCAATATCCCGGAATCCTTCCTTCCACGGCCGGCATCCAAAAAGAAGATGACAGATGCTCTGGGGCTTCTAAGCGCCTACTCTTTTATTACTATCCAACCTGGGAATGGCTCTGTAACCCTACATCGCCTGGTGCACCTGGCAACTCGAAACTGGATGAGGAAGGAAGAACAATTTCCACTTTACATAAGAAAAGCAGCAGACCGATTAAATGAGACCTTCCCTCATAATGATTATACCAACCGACAGCTTTGGAGGGAATACCTACCCCATGCCCTATCCTTATTGGGTGAGGATGAGTTTAAAAAACAACAAGAACAGTATATTGACTTTATACGGAGAGTGGGGACCTGCTTGGATAGTGATGGGAGGTACAATGAAGCAGAGAAGTTATTGATGCAGGTGATGGCGATCCGGAAACAGGTGCTAGGGCTAGAGCATCCTGACACTCTGACTAGCATGGCCGACCTTGCATCAACATACTGGGGTCAGGGACGATGGAAGGAAGCAGAGGAGCTACAGATACAAGTAATGGAGACATCAAAACGGGTGCTAGGGTCAGAGCATCCTGACACTCTGACCAGCATGGCCGACCTTGCATCAACATACTGGGGTCAAGGACAATGGAAGGAAGCAGAGAAGCTACAGAT